GATACGGGATGGATGCCGCAAACCGGTGGTTATTATACCGGATGACCCGGTTTGTAGGATCTGCTAGAGATGCTCTAAACCAACCAGGGTAACACTGTACATATGTTGTAACACCGCGAGCGCTTCTCCATGGAATAGAATCAGTTCGACTTTTGCTTGGGGCATAATCAGTCTAACAACCGTGTACTAAATGCTGGATTCGGATCAGCGCATTTGCCTGTTATGTTTTCCTGGGCGAAAACCAATGACCTGGGAGATTGTCCTCATTCTCTTTCAGTTTCTTCTAAGATCTCAAGTCATGCACAAATAACCACATCAAAATTGCAATAATAGCATACATCTCATAACCTGGTGACCAACAGAAGCAACACCTGCTGAAAAGTTGCGTATGTTTTAGATATATATAAAGAGACAGATTGGGAATGCTATTTTTTGGTTAAATTAGCAGCGCGATAGGTTGATGCTGCTGAACTGATGGTGTGTAGCTCATTGAGTAACAATGCTTCTTGTGTTGGCCAGCTGCTCATTCTTTCCACTTGTACACACTGAGTGCTTTTCAACGGAACATATTGTACACACACAATCAGGATGATTTCGCCGGGCTTGTGTGCTTCTCAGTGCGACAGAATCGGGTTTGCAACAACTGCATTTTCGGTGGGCGCACAGCAAGTTTCCCGGCGATCATTGTCTACTTTCCCTGTCAGTATCTTCTAAAATCTCAACTCATCAGCAAGAAAACATATCAAAAGTTCAATAACAATCGTACACCTTATAACCTCATGACCAACAGAACCAACACCTACAGAAATGTTCATATAGTTTTGAGATATATAAAGAGACGGGGTGGGGATTGCTCACAACTTTGGTTAAGTTAGCAGTGCAAAGCGTGTGATGCTGCTGAATAATGGTGTGTAGCTCACGAGTCCGGTGTTAGCCAGCTGCCCATAATTTCCTCTTGTTCACATTTCTTATGAACTGATTCAGTTGTTCACATGCTGATCATATGCAGGGTAACCTAGTACTTATTTCCATTCAGTTCGCGTGAGGATCGACATAATTCAGCCAACTGTTAATTAGGTGCTCCAGTTGAATTAGTTGTTGAGGTTTATTTGATGGTCATAGTAATACAAGTATATAGGATGCTTCTTTCAATCCCCTCAATAAAAAAGGATGCTTCTTTTAAAAAAAGTATATTGGATGCCTACGTCTCGGGTGGGCCGGCGAGAGCACACAGACGGTGACCCCGCCGTGTAATGATGTGGACTTATTTTTCCCAAGCAGGTCGAGCTCTGAGCGTCGTCGCAGTTTAATGTTCAATAGTGTACATCCCGGAGAGCGAAAGGAGCACCTTGGCCATGGGCCGACGCCTCCGAGGCTCCCTCAGCACGCACCTCAGTGCCAACGCGAGCATGGTGACAGCCACGTCCATTAGGTACTGCCCTTGCAGCCGGCCGTCGATGAACGCCGTCACCTTGTCTAGCAGGTCGTCCTATGTGGTTGCCACCCCTGTTGCAGGGCGCCGTTAGTTACAAACACAATGAGCACATTCTCGACCTCTGAATAGTTAGGATACACACAGCCAACACCAAGACACAAACACACACAAACTCCCCGGCAAATAACAAAGTATTGTAACAGCAAAACTATGCATGGGTAAGGAAAAAAGGAAATAGAACCCCAAAACGATCAGATCCGTGATCGACAAACTACAACATCAAGGTTCTTCAACAGCAACGCCTTCTGGAAGGAAGCGGCGCCCAATTGTCGCCGTCACTTGATCCTACCATGGAAGGCCAGAATCTAAGTTTCCACCCATAAGAATCAGTCTGAGCATATTCGAGAAATGCCTTCAACAAGGTAACAACGTAAACCTCGCCGTTCCTAATCCTAGGTATAATTGACACATGTCAGACCTAGGCTTTCACCCCGGAGCTCGAGACCGCATACTCGAGTAGCACCACCATCGACGTCACTTATGTGTTGTCACCACCACTTTTCCATAATTCCAGTAGCTACATGTGATGTGCGACCGTTGACGCTGCACAACCATTCCTCTACGTCAAGTCGTCACCTGTAGTTTGCAAGTCTCTGCCGAAGACAACCACTAGATTTAGAGAGAGAACCCTCAAAAAGACCTTTCGATGGCCACCGTAATTCGTTCGGCCTATGGCCACCTTATCTGGGATCAAGGCATTGATGAACGTCAAGTAGTTTATTCCACGAAGGCTTAGTAGTGATTAAAATAGAGTAGTTGATCCTATGGGATATTATAGTCGTACGGGGTGTACCACTATTGTATGGTTGCATCAAGGACCCCCGTGTATTGAGAAATTTTTGTCTCTCTACTGTAACTCCCTAATTATGAAATAAAACATCTTTTGCACCGAAAAAAAAGATTTTAGAGTAATGAAATGGTAGTAGTTTTTTTAGGGGTAAATGAAAATGGTAGTTGGAGATCCATGGTTGACGGGGAGCAAAAGTCCAAGCTCATATCATGTCCTGGCCGGATACAGGAAGGGGCACATGGAGATTTGTGTGTACAAGAGAGACATTTTCGCAGAAGCCCACTGCAAGTTTTTTTTTTTACTGAAGTTCACTTGATGTTTTGATTAGCGTCTCTGTTGCTTTATAAACAAAGCAGCTATGTGAGCCTGCAATCTGAAAGAACTTGTGAAAATCCCAAGTCCATTGTTGCTGGGTCAAGAACAAATACCAAGTGTCCAAGTCAACTATATTTGCCAGGTTACATATTATTGAAAGTATATTAATACGCAGGTGGAAGAAATAGCATGGGCAGGGGTCAGGTTTGTCTTGGAACATACCAACTTCGTGAAATGTGCTGAAAGAAATTTAAAAGATTTAGGTTCTTCTCGAAATTGGACCATTTGCAGATGCTTTCACTTCCCTTGTAAACCTGCATAATGCAAACAACGAAGCGACAACCAGGTCATGTTCTAAAATGATCTTTACTAGCTAAACCAGCCATCATAAGCGTCTGCTAAATTCATTGTACGCAGATTCTCAAAGGGACACACTGTACATAGGTTGTAACACCGCGAGCTCTTCTCCATGGAACAGAATCAGTTCGACTTTTGCCTGGGACATAATCAGTTCTAACAACCGTGTAGTATATATAAAGGAGTTAATTGCATAAAACCATCACATTTGGGGCAACGTATGCAGAAAACCACCTAGTACCTAATTTTGTGCAAAAATCACCGTGTTTCTAGTAAACCTTTTGCAGAATGCACAGATCAGGTGATTTAGCCCATTTAATCATTTTCTGATAGGTGGGACCGGACTCTAAGGAGCTGACCTGGCAAAAAAGTTACATACACATCCCTGGATCTAAAAACAAAAAGCAATCAACACCCCGTTCTTGATCTCATCCCCTGTTCCCGATCGATCTGATCGCCTACTCCCGATCGTGGTTGCAGAGATGGCCGTCGTGTGCGGGGAGGGGGAGGGGGTTGATTGCTTTTATTTTTAAGATCTAAGGGTGTATATGTACAAAAAATTGCCAAGTCAGCTCCCGACAATTCGGCCCCACTTGTCAGAAAGTGATTAAACAACTTAAATCATTCAATCAATGCTTTTTGCAAAAAGTTTACTGAATGTGCAGTGTTTTTTGCAAATAATTAGTGACCTCGTGTTTTTTTGCAATCGATGCCCCAAATGTAGTGGTTTTGTGCAATTAACTCATATATAAAGAGACAAACTGGAATGCTAATTTGTTGGTTAAATTAGCAGTGCGATAGGTTGATGCCGCTGAATTAATGGCGTGTAGCTCATAGATTAACAATGCTTCTTGTGTTGGCCATCTGCTCATACTTCTCCATTGTACAAACTGAATGCTTTTCAACGGAACACATTGTACACACTCCGACTCGAATAAACAGAGTACTCTATGTGGGACAAAATCATGATGATTTTCGCCGGGATTCCGTGCTTCTCAATGCGACAGAATCAGGTTTGCAACAACTGAAGTTTCCCAGGGATCATTGTCTACTTTCCCTGTCAGTTTCTTCTAAAATCTCAGCTCATCAGCAAAAAAACATATCAAAAGTTCAATAACTGTCGTACACCTTATAACCTCATGACCTACAGAAGGAACATCTACAGAAATGTTCATATAGTTTTGAGATATATAAAGAGACGGAGTGGGGAATGCTCACAACTATTGTTAAGTTAGCAGTGCAAAGCGTGTGATGATGCTGAATAATGGTGTGTAGCTCATGAGTCCGGTGTCAGCCAGCTGCCCATATATAATTTCCAGTTGTTCACATGCCGATCATATGCAGGGTCAGTCAATACTTATTTTCATTTAGTTCGCGGGAGGATCGACATAATTCAGCCAACTGTGAATTAGGTGGTCCCGTTGTTGAAGAATCAAGTGTCGAGGTTTATTTGATGGTGATAGCAATACAAGTATATATAGGATGCCTACGTCATGGGCGGGCCGGCGAGAGCACACCAAAGGTGACCCGCCGTGCACCCGAGCAGGTGGAGCTCCGGTGGCCTGAGGCCAAATGCATCCTCCCTGACAGCTCAACAGCGGCACGTGCCCGCCATGAATCGGATGTCGTACCAGAGTCCAGAGGTCACAGGATGGTCATCAAGTCAGATGCAACGACAACTTGAACATTCATTAGAAACGACAAACCAACGGATTAGAAAGATATAGGGGATCGGATCAAACGCACATTGAGGACAGATGCAGCATTTCCTAATTTCGGGCGGAACAAACTGAACTGAATGTTAGGATCAACCGAATGAAATGTAGAACGAAGATAACATCAAGGAGATCGCCAACATTCTGCAATTTGGTGAGCATGGTCTATGTACAAAATCTGGCACGTTTGAGTTCAGCAGAGCATGCAGGCATGAACTCTGATTCTGATTCTGAACGAGGCCTTTCCCTTGCACGTCTGGAGGCCGAATCCCTCGTCGCCGCCGCCGACGAATGAGGTTCTTCAGGATTGAAGCTGCACAGGAGCAGATCAAGATATCGCAGACGTATCACACGAGGTCGCGGCGGTGACGGCGGCGGCCTTGAAGAGGAGGAAGGTGAGGCGCTGGAGGGAGAAGTAGATGAAGGTGCCGCTGGAGTGGGTGAAGAAGCACCCGAAGCTGGCGCCCACCACGCACTGCCACCCCACGCCGTACCGCCGATCGAACTCCTGCACGCGCGAAAACGATGGATCCTCAGCGACGGCGACGAACCAATCAACGAAGAGCGGGAGAGACGGCGGAACGGGGAGGGAACGCACCGTCTTGATGTGGCCGGCGATGGCGCGGCAGTCGTCGACGTCGAAGAGGTCGAGCGCGCGGGAGGCGGCCGACATCGCCGCGGCCTGCATCCTCGCCGGCATGTCCGTGTCCTCCACCACCGCCTTGCCCTCCAGCATTCTCTTCTCTTCCCGGCGGCGGCAGGTCTCCCTCCCGGTGCTGGTTCGTGGTGGTTGGCCGTTTCCTTGATTCTTGGAGGAAATGGAGGAGACGTTGAGCGAGTGGGGGAAGGAATCTCAGGGAACGGACGGAAGAAGGTGAGGAGGAGGTGGGTGGCTATTGCTCTGCTTTTACCTCCGGGTTTGCAGGAAGGTTCTCCTTTTTAAGGGAATCTTATATTTCTTTTCTGAAAAAAAATCAGAGGAAGTTGCCTAAAGACAAGGGCGCTTATAGGCGCCGGCGCACCGGCCGAACCGTTCGGCCGGTCGAGCCCTAGCCGCCCGATACCACGATTAAGAGCCGTCAGATTTGACCCCCTTGCTTCGTCCTCCTCCTCGTTGTTCCCCTTCGATCAAAATTGCAACGGCCACAGCGACGTCCGACGCCCCGCCATAGCCCCGCGACCAAGGTTGAAGCACCCCCGTGGCGGCCCCGTCGCTGATCGGCGCCCTCGCCGACCGTCCTCGTCGCCGGTCGCCGCCCTCGTCCCCGGCTCCACCCATGCAACAGCTGCGCTCTCTTCTCGCTCGAGCCCCCGCTACCACCACTCGCCGGGCGGTGCTCAAAAGCATCGCCGCCGCCGCTCGTAGCCTCGCAGGCGCCGCCGCTCGTAGCCTCGCCGGCGCCGCCGCTCGTAGCCTCGCTGCCGCCATGTACATCAGCGGTAGCAAATTCCATCGCTGCTCACAACAAAAAGGGCTCCGGTTGTAGCAAAAAATTTCGCCCCAGGACGCCGCTCGTGCTCTGCAGGCCGACGCCGGTGCTGGAGACGACTACCACGCGACTGTGGCGATGCATGCTGGAACCGATCACCAGGGGTGCTACAACCGTAGTGATAAAAAGCTGGAACCGACCGCCAGGAAAGTTGCAACCGGCCAGAGCAGTAGTGGAAGCCGTGATGCCGTCACCGTCGATGTTACAAACAGTATGTACAAAAGCTGGAACCGGCAATGTAATTTGTTTCAACGGCGAGAGACTGCCAGACGCCGATTCCTGGAATCGTCAGCAAAAAAATGTTGTGACCATGCTGCGAGGAAGCTGCAACTGGCAAAAACAATGGCGACGACGGTGCTTCAACCTAGAGCGCAGAAAAAAAATGCTACAGAGAGACGCCATGGCCATAGTCGAGGAAGAAAAGCCGGTTCCAGCAATTTCATGTAAACGGGTTGAAGCTTTTTAAATGTAGGGTTGAAGCTTTCATGTAAACGGTTTGCAACTTTTTTCATTTGGGCAAGAAATCGATAGTTTGAAGCTTTTTTCCACCGTCGACGTTAGCTGCACGGGTTGCACGAATGATGGCCACCAAACATCACCATTAAGATAGATGTAGCAAAAAATCTCTGGTGGTAGCAAAAAGACAACGACATTTGCAACCAAAAATCATCGTTGTTGTTGTCCCGGGTGCATCTCTGCCATTAATTGATGTAGCAAATTTCTTCATCAGTTGTAGCAAAATCCGACGATAGTTGCAGCAAAAATTGTTGTCCCAGTCATCTGCAGGAACGCCGACCATCAATCATCACCATTAAAAAAAATGGATGTAGCAAATAAACACGCTGGTCGTAGCAAAAGACAAAGGCAGTTGCAGCAACAAACATCGTTGTTGCAGCAAAAAAACGGATGCAACTTCGTCCGTCTGCAGTTGTAGATATTTTTCCCACCCCACAGCTTGAGCGGTTGGTGAAAATAGAGCTGACCGAGTAAATGTGGTGGGTCAAGGCCACGTGATGGGCCAAGAAAAAAAACATGAATCGGGAGGTGCGGGAGCGCTGGATCGCTACCCGATCGAGCGGTGTGCGCGGGACCGGCCGAAGATTCGGCCGGTGCACCGTTTGTAAACATTTCCCTAAAAACAAATTGGGATTCTTTTTTTAAGGAGACTTTTTAATCTGATAATTATCAAGGAAAAAGAAAATTACCAGTCCCATAAAAAGACAACCAAATACATAATGACATGGAAAAAATAAAACTACAATAAAAATCATACTATTTATGTTGTTCTTGCCATTGATTGTCGCCAACCGGAGATTAAAAATTACATCTAACCAACAGTAAAGGAAATGGACACCTAAAAATGCCCTCATTCTATCAGACTTTAAAGACCGCAATAGTTGCTTGCCGCTTGAAACGAGATATACAAATTGCCGACCAAACATTTGTTAGAGCATCACCCCTTGTAGTATAGCTTGAAATCCATCACCATGCCTGGGAACAACATAAAGAAGATGTCGAAGTCAGCTAAACCAAAGCCAACCAATTGTTCTTCTCGATAGGAACATCAACTGTCAAGATCCGAAGAAAGCCAAAAAAATCTGGAGACACAAACTCCCACATGCCCTTTGGTGCCATTGGATGAGACGTCGTCGAGGTAGTGAGAGGCCACAACGACCTTATTCTAACACGACATCGTTGCCACCACCTCATTGATGCTGCCACGGGAACAAGACCTAAGAAATGGAAAAAAATGAAATAGACAGGTCCTCAGTCCTCTTGCTGCCGCCGAGGCCACCGGACGGGGGAGAGGAGGGCGGCTAAGGCGGCCGCGTGGAGAACACCTTTGGCGGCGACTAGGGTTTGAAATAAGAGGCGTACGTATTCGTACTTTTGATGACACTGCAACTAGGAATTAGTATGCCAGGTAGAGTATATAATAAGGACCGCTTATCTATGAGGCGACTGATCATGTTAAGCTTCTTCCACTTAGCTTTCAACCATCCTATTGTGTTGCAGTGCTTTCTTTGTCTACTTTATTCTTCCTTCATTAATGGTAAGCACCGACCACATTTGCCTGTGCCTGCCAACTCACGTATGCCTCCGTGGCCCCCTTGCTCAAGCCACCCTCCGTTGTGCTACCGTCACCCCCGCCTCTGGCCATCACTCTAACCCCCCTGAATTGTCTCTACCATTCTCTAGCGGTGTGATGACCTCTCACCCCATCGTAAAATTTAAGCCTCCAACTCGCTCCCATTGTCGATGTTGCGGCAAGCCGAGGAGTCGCTGGCCCCCACTTTTCACGGCTCACACTTATCATGCACTGTTCTCCCTACAACATTCCATTGACACCAAATTTTCAGTTGCTTGAGAATTCGCAACTGCATTGAAAGATAACATGACGAAGAAACCTAAATCGACGCATGTCAGACTTTCTTGTTAAAATGGCCGATTTAGGGAACATGAGTCATCACAGTTACTTCCCCATGATAGGGATTGTGAGTTCTCTACCTCGCATGTATCTCCTCACCATCGTTGCTTTGAGATCCATCCTATGTGTTTCCTGGCAAATAATTATTAGGTGATGCTAGGCCGATGATAATTGGACCACCTGGACACCCATCGGATGGCGCAGTAGACAGCTATCCAATATCTTTCCTGCAACAGTTGTGCGCCCCAACCATTTGCAACATGGCTCGTGTTGGGTTTGAGGCTTTGCAACACGAGCGGTGTTGTACTCCATCGAATAAAAGAATGTTTTCATCGGAATATGGTCAATGTTTCGCTGCCCATGTCATGTCGCGTGCTGGACTCCAACATGGGCCATGTTGCAATCCCAAGCTAGCTCACAAGAGACATGTGCCATGCACGCCTCGCACTGCCCTGTCCTTTGCAACATGGGTGATGTTGCTATCCCGGCTGAGCTCCCATAAGGACACGTAACGCAGGCGAGGCGGCAGACAACACGATAGAAATTAGTCGGTTGAGTGCTAACTTTTTTCAAAAATAAAATGTTTCAGAGTACTATACAATATCACATTAGATTTTTTTTCTTGGTTCAACGTTAAAATGTATATTAATGTACTTTGAAACAAGAAAAAGAAACCTAACACAACAATCTGAAATAAAGATGAAAATTGTCAAACACATACAACATACACATGCGAACTGAGTGTAGCTCGGATGGTTAGGTTCCTTGTGGTGGCATAAACCCATCAGGGTTCAAGTTGAGGACATGGCATTGGTGCTCGCATTTCCCTGGATTTAGATGATGTGTCGGCTCAACTGGTTGGGGGAGTGGATGTACAAACCCAACACCTAGGTTCAAATCCTCACGAGAGCGAATTTAGATTCCTATTTATTCTTGAGGACAAGGCTTTCTTGGTACTCACGCATTTATTAAGGACTAGGCTCGGTGCATATAACTGAGATTAAAAATCCTAGTACTCACATTTAAAAGGCCGTATGCACCCCTAGTTGGTCCAGAGGCCGGGGAAGTGAAGTTCTCCCCCATTTTTAGGGTGGAGGCAATACACGGTACGATAGCCCCCGTGTCGCCCTCCCCCTAGGTCGACTCGGGTGGAGCAAAGAAACCTAGCCACCGCCGCCGCTGCAAACTTCCTCCTCCTCTCCCTCCGCCGCCGTTGGGGGACGCCGTCGGGCTAAGCCCGGGGGCCGATGGCGATGGCGGGGGATCTCCTCTCTCACGCGTCTTCGGGTTGAGGGGGACCCCTAGGCGTGTGGCGGCGCGGCCGATCTGGGTTCTGTGGCGCGGCGGATGGCTGCGACAAGTGGTGGGCGGCCAGTCCATCCTTGGACGGCGGCGGCTAGGCACGGCGTGCGGCCCAGGCACGGGCGGCGGCGTGGGCTGCGGGCACAACGGCCGGCCTTTTCGGGCGGCGGCGGCGGCCAGCTAGGCTGCGGTGTCGTGCATATCGCCTTCAGATCGGCGGTGACGGCGTGAAGGGCCTGGTGGTCTCGTCGGCGGCACCTCCGGGCTCCGGTCAGATCTGTTCTGACCGATGCGACCGGCGGTGGTGGTCATCTCTAGTAGTCCATTAGTCCCGGTTCAGTCACGAACCGGGACCCATGGGCCCATTGGTCCAGGTTCGTGAGGCCAGGGGGGTTGTCGGGCATTGTGGGGCCATTGGTCCCGGTTCGTCTGGCCCCTTTGGTCCCGGTTGGTGGCACAAACCGGGACCAATGGGCCTCGCTCCTGGCCCACCATCATTGGTCCCGGTTGGTGGCC